AAGATAATGAACGGAGCACTACCTATCAACCTTGGCATCTAGAGGCATAATCAACCAATCTCAGTGTGTGAGATGTGGCAAGACGGAAACCCCATTACATCTCTTCTTCTAGTGTGAGTACGCTCAAAGTGTCGGGAAGCTGGCCCCTTTTGGAGTTTCCTTAAATCTACAAAACCTCACAGATATGGCTGAGGGACTCAAACTGACCAAGACGATGATATGCATGCCTCCAACAGGAATTTCATATGTCCCTCTATCCCTCTGGATCCTTTGGAACCTCTGACTAGCACCAAACAACAAGACCTTCTCAGATTGAGCATTCACAGTAGAATATATCACTACAAAAGCCATTCAAGACGCTAGAGAATGGCTTTCGGCACAGATAATTGAACCTGGCTTATCGACACCAAGCCTAATCTAAGCGAACGCGGAATTGGATGGAATCACCTTTCACTGCCTCTCGGATGCGGCCTGGAGGGGAGACACGAAGACTGCAGGACTCGGCTGGATCATCCGCAACACCGAGAATCGAATAATCTCCCAAGGCTCCATGGCGATGCTCCAGATCAAATCTCCTCTGATAGCGGAGGCTTTGGCAATCAGAGAATCCCATTTGCATGCTGCGACCATCGGATTACGACACTTCCGAGTCTCATAAGATTCAAAACATCTGATCCATCTGATCAACTTCGGATCCTCCAATCTAGAAACCTTAATTTGAAATTCTCTTTGATATCGCAAAGCTATCTCTAGATCTTGATGTAAATTCTTTTGAATATGTTGAAAGGAAAAAAAAAACTTTGAGGCTGACTCATTGGTAAAAATCAACCCTATTTTTGGTTCCGGTTAATACTGGTTCGTTTCTGGCATAATGAAAATTTTAATCTTTTAACCCAAAAAAAATCTCTTCAATTTATTTTTTATTATTAAAGAGTAATTTTGTTTTATTTTTATTTTTTTCTGCTAGTTTCCTAATTATATTTTTGGTTATGTTACTTTTCTAATTATATGTTCAAAACTAATATTAATCTAATTAACCCTTACATATATTTACGTATAATTCCGCTTTAAAGCCAGCTTCAAATATCCAACAATATCACTTTAAAGTTTAAACGATTCTATATGATTGATTTATTAATTTACCCCGATAAGATCATAACTTTTTTTTGTTAAACTGGATCTAACTCTATACTAATTTTCTTTGCTGTTGCCAAATGTCAATTCAATATACTAACGGGTTCAGTGAACATAATCAAGAGAAATTTTAAGAAATGTCACTTCTCAAATGCCACTTTTCAAAAATGACACTTTTTCAAAATCTTTACAAAAATGCCATTTTTCAAAATTATTTTTTTATTATATCATTTATGTTTGTGTTAATTATGTTGTATTATGGTTTAGTTTTGAGGGTTTAAGGAGTTTTAAGGGTCAAAATATTTTGTAAGGTTTATAATTTTAAGATTTAGGCTGTAAAATCTATAATTAGTGACATTTTTTAAATGGACATCTATAAATGACATTCTTGCAAATATAAGGCTAAGAAAATAATTTGATTTATATATTTTTAGTATCATTCATTACCAGACAGAAATAAAATTACATCCCTCCCTTCGTTTAAGTTTCCTCATTGCTAGTTATTCAATTTTCTTTTGTAAAAGAATATTATAGTGAATTTGAACCGAAATGTATTTGGTTGATTTCCTTCGATTTCAATTCTAGTAGTATTTCTTATTAAAAAAAAAACAAATAAATAGAAATACGGATAAGTGATTAATTTGTACTTTATTTTCCTACTAAAAGTGTTATCAAAGTCTTCGATTCGCCCAAAATTGTTAAATTTCATCAAGTTTCAAGTGTTGCTCCTCCCTTTGT